AGATCTATTCAGTTCTGACTCCTTCTTAAAACAGGTTTATTGATTATAGATGTTGCTACAATAATTCATAAGTATTTTCTTCAGGCTCATCAAACATCAATAACAATCTTTATTTTAAATAACATAGGTTAGTATTCACTCCTCAGACTAATCAATTCTCAGATCCCCCAAACTATCTCTCCTTCTCTCTTATTCCAAATTCTCTGTACTAACTCAGACTGAACTCCTCCTCTCTGGCTCCGCCTTTTAACATCTCTAGTGGCCCCACCTCTCAATCACATCAGCATAAAACATGAATAATACATGACTTATTTAGGGTACAATAATGCATGACACAGATGTCTGTAATGCAACACGTATGCCTCAAAATGAGATAGCTCCAGGCATGGTTCCTTGCCCTATTCACCCCACTAAGGGATCCTCCTCACACCCTGTTAAGGGTCACTCTGGAACTCGTTGCCCAACTTTCTTGGTGGTGCTCTGTTGACAACCTTACAATGGGACGACCTTTCCAACAACCACGTCCTCAAATATAAGTCACTACCAACGCCAGTCTCACTGACTGGGGCACTCACTGGAAATCCCTAAAGATCCATGCCCAATGGTCAAAAGGGAGAAATTGTTCCACATCAACAATCTAGAACTGTTAGCAGTGATAAAAGCGTGCAAAGCTTTAAGAGACTGTCTTGGAGTCAAGATGGTACAAGTCGCTACCAACAACACTACGGCAATGTACTATATTCTCAAGCAAGGAGGTACCAACTCTCCAAGCCTCCTGTATCTCACAGTTGACCTTTGGGAATGGTATCTGTGGCATCGTATCTGCCTCACAGCAATACACATAGCCGGCCAAGACAACAATCTGGTAGATCTCAGTCGCAAGGAATCCCAAGCTTATGAATGGAAACTAGACCAGTCTGTCTTTCTCCTTCTTTGCAAACGCTGGGGCACACCCACCATCAACCTTTTTGCCTCCCTGACAAATCAGAAGTGCAAACGCTACTGCTTCCCACGCAGGAGTCGGCAAGCATTCACACAGAGACGCATTCGTAGGCCGTTGGCCCAGGACCCTTACTTACCTGTTCCCACCAGTTCTGCTCCTTCACACAGTAGTTGTCTGGCTCAAACAGGTCAAACCCAATGCCATCTTAATAGCTCCATGGTGGCTACAACAAACTTTGATCCCGGTTCTACAAAATCTGTCATCAGACATCCATCACCTACCCTGCCTGCCTCACCTGCTCACGCAGAACAAAACTCAAATTCTTTACTCAGAAAATTCTCCAAAACTCAGTTTCTCCAATTCCTACTCCCTGATGCCTCCCTGATGGATGTTCTCCATCAGGCAAAGAAACCCTCAACCGGGAGAGCTTATCTGTACAAGTGGAAGAAATTCCAGTCCTTCACTGAAATTTCTACACTACCTTCAATTAACCCCTCTCTCTCCACCATCCTTCATTTTCTGCTTCATCTTAAAAAACGAAGGGTCTCTCCCTTTTTTCCTTGAGGGTTACCTGTCTGCAATAGTTTCCTATCAACCACCAACCTCTCCAGCAGCTCAGTTTTTCAGGCACCGTACTCTGAAGCGTTTCCTGAAGGGTTTATCGAACATGTATCCAGATGTGCGTCCACCTTCATCTCAGTGATATTCAAAGATAGTCTTGCAGCAGCTCACCAAGGCCCCATTTGGGCCCTTAGCTTTGGTTGATCTTAGACTACTTACCTTTAAAACAGTGTTCCTCGTTGCTATCACATCTGCTCGTCATGCCAGTGAACTTGCAGCCTTGCATCATGATTATCCTTATCTCCAGTTTTATCTGGATAAGGTCAAATTGTTTGTAGATATCTCCTTTCTCCCCAAGGTTGTTTCTCAGTTTCATATGTCCCAACCTTTGGTTCTCCCATCATTTTTTCTGTCTCTGTCTACTACTCATGAAAGAATCCTCCGTACTCTGGATGTTAGATGGGTCCTAGTGTTTTACCTAGCCCGTACACAACCCTTCCAGTGCTTAGCTCGACTTTTCGTCAGCTACCAACTCCCTGTGAAGGGTCTCCAGGTGACATCACAAAGAATCTCCGGGTTGCTTCTACCATCCACCTGGCGGACCAGCTGGCTAGAAGGCCAGCTCCTCAGGTTATTCACCCTCATTTAACTAGGGCAATGTCAACTTCCACGGCGTTTCTTCATGGCATTCCAGACATCTGTGCCTCTTCAATATGGTCACAGCTGTCCACATTCATCAAACACTATAGGTTGGATGTTTGGCAGAAATCTGATGCAGCCTTTGTATGCTGTACTAGCTTCTACCTTGGCGTGACACCTTCCTCCAGATAAGACAGCTTGTTAGTCACTCAGGGTGTGATTCACAGAGGTCACAAAGAAGAACAACAGGTTACTCACCTGTAATTGTAGTTCTTCGAGTGGACTTCTGTGATTCACACATCCTGACCTGGCCTCCCTACCGTCATGCCATGCAGCTGTAATATGTAGCAGTTGACATAACTGAAGGGAGAGCCTTGGTGCCAAGGTACATATATGGTCTTCACCAATGTGGGGTTTTTTGCTACCGCAGAAGCTCTAGAATCTTCCAACAAGGCTCCATGCAAGTGTAGATTACCCAGGGTCTGAATCAGAGATTCACTCAAAGAACTACAATTACAGGTGAGTAACCTGTTGTTTCCCCAGGATACCTTGTACCTGGAGGTTTATAGCACCGCCCCCATTCCTATGGCAAATCGCGTTCCGATTTATGAATTTTTCACATTATGTAACATCCCAGAGAACACATTCAATTTGTAAACCGAGGTACTAGTGTAATGCCATTCTTCCAAACCATGATAATTTTAATTTTTGATACAGATTTATCTGTTCATTAATTTCTTTCTTTAATGTATCCATATCTAATTTAATCATTTCTTGTAAATTCCATGTAATATAAATTCCTAAATGTGAAAGTATACTTTCAATTCTTCCCTTAAATTCTTTTTTCAATTCTTCCTCATGTGAATGATTTCATAAAATACATTCAGATTTCTCCCAGTTTACTTTCAAACCAGTAATTTCTCCAAATATATTTTAGCAATATAACTTTTGGGTTTTTGATTATTAATAATCAAAATCTGATATTATTAATATCATATGCAAAGAGGTTTATTTTATTCTCCTCTCTAGTATCTATACCTTTAATTAAACTACCATTTCTGATACATGTGCCAGCACTTCTGTTATCAATGTAAATAAAATCGGAGATAAGGGGCAACCCTGTCTTGTTCCTCAGCCCAAGCATATTGATTCTGTTATGGCATCATTTATTATCATTTTTTCAGAGTTCTGTGAATATAGTTGTTGAATTATTTGTCTAAATTGAGGACCAAATCCTATCTGATTAAGCAATATTTTTAATGCTTCCCATTCAAAGTTTGTAGGGATATTAAACCTGTCTTACATTTTGATTCTCTTGCCGGGTGCATTAAGTTAAGTACCTTCCTCATTGTATCTGACATCTGCCTGCCTTGAATAAATCAATTTTGATCTTTCTCAGTGTAATTCCCTACTCTTAACTTTCAATCCCCTTTTCCCCCAGTTTATCCTGCCTCTGGAATGATCTACCACCAGAAAAACATCTGGCTCCCTCCTTGATGTCTTTTAAGAAACTGCTTAAAACATTTTTATTCTAGCAGGCTGTCTAGAATCAGCCAGCTTAATACCTGTTAAAGTATCAGCCTTTTCTATTTGTTACCCCCTGTTTGATCTATTTAATATTTTAATTGTTTACGTCCTTGTTATTTAATTTAAGTTAGTTTAATTTTGAGCACTTTGTTATATTTATTTATTTTAATTATCCATTTGACTTGTATGCCGCCCTCACTCTTCGGGCGGCTTCCAACATCAATTAACAATCCAATTGAAACAAACACACTATAAAAACCAATACAGTTAAACCAAAAACAAAAGCAGTCTACAAAAACAATCTAGATCCATGACTATGAATTAAAATTAAAACCTTCAGTTATAAAACTTGCGGAACAGGAAGGTTTTAACCTGGCACCAAAATGTCACTAACATTGGTGTCCATCGGATGTTGTTTGGGAGGGCATTCCAAAGACAGCTGCTGAAAAGGCCCTCTGCCTACAGGCCATCCCTCTCACCTCACTGAGGGATGGGTCTTTAAGGAGGCCCCCCGGCTAGGTTTCAGCTGCTGAGTGGTGTCTCAACTTACAAACTTAATTGGTTCCGGAAGATGGTTGTAATTCGAAAGTCAAAGCACCATTTCCCATTGGAATGTATTGAAATGCAATTAATCTGTTCTGGCCGAAGAAAAAAATAACAACAAAAAATCACTGCAAGACCCATTGGAAATGCGATTAATCCCTTCCGGCCGAGGGTGGGGGGAAGCAATCAAGCTTGCAAGACCCATCGGCCACCAAATCCACCTGAGCCTCCAGAGCCAGACTAACAGCGGACCCTGTCCCTCAGAGGGAGTGTAACCCCATTCAAGGCAGGGGAATGGCCCTTTAATCTGTCCGATGAACTACCCACTAACAGCACTTCTGTCTTGTCTGGATTGACTTTCAGTTTATTAGCCTTCATCCAGTCCATTATCAGGTCCAGACACGAGTTCAGCACTGAAACTGCCTCACCTGAATTGGTGGAAAAAGAGAGGTAGAGCTGAGTCATCAGCATATTGCTGACTCCTCAGCCCAGACCTACTGATCAGGTTTATTATGTCTGTATTTCACTGGTCATATGGGCAGTATAAAATTAGATAGATAGAAGTTGAGCAAGTCCTATACAATGTGAAGTATAATTGTGTCTTTAATTTCTATCTTCACAATTTGAGTGGGAGTTTTCACTCAGAAACACACTTCCTCCTTATATGGGTATGTCTGGAACTGGATCCTCCTTATTTGTTTGTTGTTGTTTTTTATTGTTTATTCATTTATTTATTTGAAACAATACAGCTTAGCTCATCTTGGGGAAAATTATGACTACTATTGTGTGCCTTGTTTGACTTTGGGCTTTGCCTTTCCAGTGTAAATCTGTACTTCCGGAATATGAGTAATGATTTGGAGGCCTACACCAATCATGCTAGACGGAAGACTATAGAGCCTGCTGATTTAGAGCTTCTCATGCGACGGTATGGAATGTTTTATGCATCATTTTTAGGCAAGCTGCATCTCTCTCTTTCTTTCTCACAACTGTTATATACTGTGTGTCTCAGAACTGCAGAAGCTGGAAGGGACTCGTATCAAGTCCAGCCCCTGTCAAGGACTCAGAGTGGGGAATCAGAGTCCCAGCCTCTGGCTTCGCAGCCAGATGCCTAAATCACTGAGCTATCCAGCAGTTCAATAAAAGAGAAAGGGTGTTCCTGTGCTTAAACCCATGTGATCTGAATTATGTTTGCTTTTTGCTAAGGATCAGTTGAGCAACAAGCAGGAATATCCTACATGCCCAAACAATAGCTTTTTAAAAAGCTGAACTGTGGGGAAAAGGGGGCTTAGCTCCTTTTTCAACACACTCGTTTGAGCAATATAGGGGAATGAACTTGTAATCTTCCTTGCAATTTCTCTTCCTGGTTAGACAGAAATTAATGTGCTTATGATGAAAACAGATTTCATGTGCAACAAATAGGGAATCAAAATAAGAATTTCAGCAGAGAGGAATGTGATATGGACAGAATTATGAAGGCTAACATGCTATTTCCCATCCTGTGTATTAAATGACTTTGCTACACAATGGCCATGTGTTAGAATTCCAGAGTTCTCACTTGTCATGAACAGGGAGTGCAATCTGCATCCAGCACGTTTTGCTTACAGTTTGCTTGTCCTTGCTAACATGACCACCAAACAATCAAGAAAGGGGTTTGTTTAGCTTGTCATCATAGCTGCTCCTGTATAAGGCAGGATTCATAAGCCAAAAGCAAAGTCTAGCTACTATAAGGAGTTTTTTAAAAAAGAGAAATAAATTGTTTCCATGCACCAATGTGTACCCATCTGAGATAACCCAGGATTTGTGAGCATTTTGGTATCTGTAGAAACACTGTCAAGAGGTGCACTAAGGATACTAATGTCCATTGTGTGGGCCAGTGTCTGCTACTGACATGTGATAGTCAGAAGTGTATCTGCCTCATCCTGAAGCACCTTTGAAACAACCATGTGCTCTGTCACTAACAGACCTAGGTTTCCACTGCCCCATTTATGCTTCCATTCCTTTGGGCTCCTGTGGCAATCAATAATCTAAATGACCTCTGTTAAACTAAAATCTAGTTGGCTCCCAAGTTGTCTGAACCTCCCAGTCACAGCTGTTAACAACAATAAGGAAAAGGTGCAAATTTAACAGACAATTGTTCGATCCCAGGCTCAGGTAACTGACTTGAGGTTGACTCATCCTCCCATAGTCAGTAAACTGAGTGCTCAGCAATGTGCAGCCTGCATACTTAAATTGTAAACCACCCAGAGAGACTTTTTAGCACTATGGAGCAGTATATGGAGCTTTTTTTTCCTGGCTCAGAGCATGTGCTTCTTGATAAATTGCTTTGGACTATAAACGTAATAACTATTTGCTGAGAGGAATCAAGACAAACTAACTGAAGCAGGAACTTTTTCTCCCCCCCCCACCTTTTCCCCTCCTACTACATATCTTCTTTTATCCAGCCAAAGACTGATAACAGACAAGATGCCTTTAAATGTGCTGATAGAGCGCCACTTGCCTCTTGAATACAGAAAGCTGCTCATTCCTGTTGCCACCGCTGGAAACAAAGTAGTCCCACCAAAGCCATTATGAGATGTTAGCAATGTATCCTGAGGCTAAAAACATCATGTTCAGTTTAGGGAAGGAAACATCAATCCAGCTAGTTCTACCAGCTACCTCTTGCACTGAGGGAAAATGGAAACTTCAATGCTATATAAAGTTTATAGTCGTAGTAAAAGTTTATGAACAAAGTTCTGTGTCTGTGTTCTTTTATTATTCTTGAGTAAAATATGTAATTCTCTGTTCTTTCCATTCTACAACAAACCAAAACAATATGACATCAAGCTTCATTGCAGATAATCTTGTACTGCTAAAAATTAATAGATTCATATTTCTTATATTTTGAACTTTTATCAGCTACATTATTTTATGGTAGGTGTCTGACAAGGTAAATACTTCAACTGAAACAATCTGCAATCTTTTCTCATATTAGCACAGTTTAAAATTTCTGAACAAGAGCTGTTATAAACAGCAGTTACTTAAAACAGCAGTTACTCCTGCCCTGCAGAAAAACTGTGGACTCATACCCAATGGCCAGTTATTAGGCAAAAGTGTAAGAACCTAATTATTCTTTACAGTACAATTGATTACCTACATATAATACATTAGTTTTTAAATCTAATCAATGCACTTCGGCTTTCAAATACAGTACTCTTTGAGCCTTCAAAGACCCTTCCTATAGCAAATCAAATCCAGGTTTAGCTGCCAGAAACATTACTTACAACATGTAAATAAAACTTAACAAAGATTTGCCCAAGTGTAAGACTTGTTTGTTTGTGGTTTAGTTTTGCTGCCTTCTACCTTATAAGGCTAATAATGAAAATTCTATTGTCTGAAAATTTTTATTTGTCTTTTTTACATAGACCAGGAATCCACTTGGATTACAGCTAGTTCTGAAACTTTTAAAAAGCAGAATAAAATTACATCTTCTAAAATTACATAGGTGGCAAGCTGTGACCATCCAGTTGGGTAAGCTAAAGTTTTGTTGTGATCAAATACTAGCATATGCTATGTTGTAGGCAAAGGACATCAATTTATCAAATTATGAAACTCACTCCTTCTGAAACAGACTCTTCCACTTTCTCTAAGTCTAATCAATTCAATGTACCATCTCTATGAAGTGCCATAGTTTGAAATGTGAGCATAAGTTTTATAAAACTTTGTAACAGACCTTGTGTTATTCTACAGATGTCTTGGGTTCTGAACATTAAAAGGGAGCTAAAACACACTGTTCAAGAAGGGTTTTCAATGGTTTAGGGGTCATTTATCGGGTGTGCTCTGCCAAGGAAACTTTGGTCTGCTCAGTAAAATTACTCCAGTAAATCAGTGAAGAGAAGGATTTGTGTCAGCTAGACATTAAATTAACGGGCTCTCTGCTTCTTCAGCTGTAGTGGATGAGGGGAGGCACTTTGCATCTCCTGAAACAACCACTTGGCGTCTGAGATCTGCAGTCATTAGCCTCTGCATTAGTATGTCTATAGGAATGGAGGCAGTAGGATCTAGCTGCTCTTTGGGAACTAGGAAGGCACAACCGATATAGTAGTCTAGAGTTTGCTCAGCCAAACCAGGGTCAATTGTACAGAAAGCTGTCCTCAGGTCATCTGGTCTTACTTCCCTGTGTATAAAAAGATAAACAGAGTCAGTTGGAGACATTTATTTGTAAGGAAGTCTCTTACTGTACATTTGATCAAACTCCGGGAGGCAGTGGAAGACAGGAGGGCCTGGCATGCTCTGGTCCATGGGGTCACGAAGAGTTGGACACAATTTAATGACTAAATAACAACTCTTACTGTTCTATAGTAAGAATCTGAAGTTACACATCTGTCCAGATCAAATTATATATGTGGAATTTCAGTTGGACCCATAATCTGTTCAAACCATGCTATCCCCTTAACTTGGAGTATAACGGAACATGTCTCTTGGTGACTTAACATAGCCTTACTAGCAAAACACTAAACATGTAAATAACATTAAAAAGGAAGTTCAACAAATTTACAAACAGAATGAAACACCTAAAAGCCTAAAATGTAATCTACCAAAGAGATCAATTCAGAATCAAGATCATTCAAACATCCGTAGTCTATACATAGAAACAATATTATACCATTTATTAACAAAACTTTAAAATTATTTGCTGTGGCTGTCAAAAAGTGAGCAAGCAAAATGTACCATTAATCAATCATATAACAGATACAAGTTTTAACCAAAAACCTAAGTATCTGTTAAATATTGGCGCAGTGTTTTCATGAGAACTGGATTTCTCCTATGGAGTTGCTGCATGGCTAGATGAGCCAAGGACTGACATCATATAATACTATCCTTAATTGTATTAAGGATAGTATCCAATAGTGTTATATAATAATAGCTTATTTATTAATTAATCTAAAATATTTATTAATAATTAATTAATTAATATTTTACCCTGCCTTTCTTCTTAAAAATGACCCAAGGCTGCTTACATCATTGAAAGACAATTAAAGCTAAGAAATTGAGTATACAGTGGTGGTTTACATAATTAAAGCAGTAAATATACAAATATTAAAAATGAACAAATTCTACTCTGAGATGAGAAATGGTAAACACAAGTACGTATTAAAAATCCAGTCAAAGTAGTAATGCATAACAATCCATATAGCTGACCGTCTAGTCATGCAACAACCAATTTTTTCACTATATGCTGTTAATACTAAGACAAAAGTCATGGCCTGTTGGAGAAAGCTAAAGAGAGTTGAAAAAGAGACCAACTATGAGATTGTCTCGTCTCAATATTCCATGGCCTTGAATTTGCAAGAACTGGGAAGAGCTGTAAAAGATAGGACCTTTTGGAAGTCATTCATAGGGTTGTTGTGAGTCAGGGTGACTTGACAGCACATAACAGCTGCCAAGCACACAGTGTAGAAAGAAAAACCTAAGATCTCTTACAGTATTACAAAATCTCTATGTAGGACCCTCTCATGAAACAAGTCAGATTTCACAAATCTATTAAATGCGTATTAGAATCTCTCTTTAATTGTTTGTTTGGATATAGAATAGCATGAGAAACAGACTTGCAAGAGAACTTTGAGGACTGACCACCAAGTTTGCTCCTTTTTAAGTCAAAAACTGGCTGAAAGAAAACAATTTAAAAAACTTATACCAACAAAATTGTCTCGATTCCTCACTCATATGTCCGAAATGTACTGGATGGGATATCGAAAAGGGAACATAATACACGCGTAGAGAGAAGTATCGACTTCTGAGGATAATATAATAGTCTCTAAAATAATACAACATAACTTTTAATAATGCAGCATATTACTGTTATTATCCATCTTCACTAAGGTAAAAAATATTGTTACATAAAAATCTCATCTTCCTTGTTGCTTCAATAAGGCAAAAATCATGCATAAATAGAAAACTTTTCACCACCACCTTGTTCAATTTGGTACAAGATTTTGAGATACTACTCTTGTGGTATATATTCAAAAAATAGGAAAAAAAACTGAAGTAAAAGCTCAGATGCCATTTGTGCAATATGAGAGTGAAAACGCCTCAGCATCTAGGCCGCCTCTAACACATCTGATCTCTGAAAGGTCTTCTAGAGCAGTGGTTCTCAAACTGGGGTCTTGGACTGCAATTCCCAGAAGCCTTCACCACTTGTTGTGCTGGCCAGGATTTCTGCGAGTTGTAGTCCAAGAACATCTGGGGACCCAAGTTTGAGAAACATTAAAAAGGGTAATCCCTCATCTTGATTGACAGCGCTTTGTACACAGGAGTATTTATTGAGTTATTTTTAATGATGTAGTGTGTACACTACCCTGTTCCTACTCTACATGTGCAAAACTTTCCTCAAATACTCTAGCTTTTTATTTACTGCTTTGTATGAATCCAATTTTTCTCTTTCATTGTGATGATAAAAAAATTAAAATCTAGAAGTAAATCCTCCTGAATTCACTTCTAAGTAAATATTTAAGGTAAAAGGTAAAGGTTCCCCTTGACAATTTTTGTCCAGTCGTGTTCGACTTTAGGGGGCGGTGCTCGTCCACGTTTCCAAGCCATAGAGCCAGCATTTTTGTCCCAAGACAATCTTCCGTGGTCACATGGCCAGTGCGACTTAGACACGGAATGCTGTTACCTTCCCACCGAGGTGGTCCCTATTTATCTACTTGCATTTGCATGCTTTCGAACCGCTAGGTTGGCGGGAGCTGGGACAAGCGACGGGCGCTCACTCCGTTGCGTGGATTCGATCTTACGACTGCATGGTCTTCTGACCCTGCAGCACAGGCTTCTGCGGTTTAGCCCGCAGCGCCACCATGTCCCTATAAATATGTAAGGACTATATGGTAAATGAGATGGATGTTGGCTCTCCCAGAAACTAAGGGGACAAACTAGTCAAGACAATTCCAAAATGATTTCAGTAGAAAAAAGTTATCAATATTCGCAATTCAGGGCTTGTATACTCACATCAAGTTTCCTAGTTCAGCCTGAAGATCGCACAGATATACTTGTTTCTCAGTCACATACTGGTTTCTAAGCTTTATAACCAGCAGTTGTATTTTACCCTCCTCATCCTGCAAAAACATAGAAGCCTTTTACTATTGTGGGTTTTTTGGGGGGCGTTATTATTACTCTTTAATTGGGGGAGATTTACGGCAGCATTATACATAATCTCCATACAGGGCACATTACCATAGTCTTTCTAGACTGAAGGGTGCCTAATGAATGAATGATACATAACCTATGGGAGCTTCCAGAGAGGCGTACAATATTATCAGTTAAAGAAGGCTGGGCCGCTATTTTGTCTTTTTGTCCTTAATGGATTTTCTCTGGAAACACAAAAGATGGAAGCAATGACAAGAAAGTTGCTGGACATCAATCTCTCCTACTGCTTCCGTTAATGAAGTCAGTCAAATTAATAGAGATGGGAATTTGGAATTTTGTTTTTCGTTTTGTTTTAAAAAACTACAACCCTTGCAACATTTTAGCCAGTGGCCATTCTGACAAAGGTATTCTGGGAGTTGTTACCGTATTTTTCGCTCCATAAGACGCACAGACTTTCCACACCCCTGTTTTGTGGGAAAAAAGTGAGTCTTATGGTGCAAAAAATACAGTAACTCTTCTCATTTGTAGCCTGCTGATAAAAACCTTACTCAACCTCCGTTCAACTAAGGCAGTGGTTAAACATAACCGAGGGCGGGGCATGGTTTCTGACTGCACACAGGCCTAGTTTTAGATCTGTGCCACTGTAAGAAAGAGCGGGAGGGAGAGAGACCCCCCTCTTGGGAGTCCCGTCCCTCCCACCAACCACTGAAAAAGAGAGTCAGACCCCACCAGTCCCCCCACCCAGGAAGACAAGACCTCCAGGACGTGACCCAGAAAACTTAGAGATTTGAAAGGACTAACGATCAGAGACCAGGACTATCTTGGCAGGTGCAGGAGAAAAAGGGCAGGAAGTGGTAGAGGCGGGGTTAGGGGATATAAGAAGGAGAGTTGCCAGTAGGTTGGGAGTGGATTTGGGTTGAAGACCCCTGGATGGGTAAGATTGAAAAGCTACGAGTCCCCAAAGAAGAGGCGAATGTCAGAAGGAGAAAAGAACTCAACCCCAAACCATCTTACTGGGGTGAGAGAGAAACTAAAGAGTGTAGGAAGAAGTTAAGGGAGGAAAGAGAGAGGGTGGAAAGAGAATGGCAAGAGAGATTAGAATGGAGGATATGGGAGATGCAGCAGAGGGGATTCCTGGAACCCTGTGGCAGACAGGAGTGTGGGTGGACGTTCAAGAGGAGGACACCATCCCCCTGCTGGAAGGAGAGGAGGGACTATTACTGAATTATTACACCCCACCTGAATGGCCGGGATGTTGGAACTCTCCCACCAGATCCGTTGTCGAATGGGGAGAAGGTTTGGAATACTTTTGTGGACACTGGGCTTTTGTTGAATAACCCAATAAATGTTACCCCCATTTCTAAACCGAGAAGACCCGTTGCTTTATTTGAAAAAGAAAAGGAGCGAACTACCGAACCCTCACAGCCACATTGCACATTGTTGAGTCTGTGCCACATTTTGGGGTCTTTACATTGGTTTATTATTCAATAAAGGAATAACTTTGTGTCTTCTCTGGCAGTGCTACTTCATCTCTTAATATTTTTGAAACACTGCATCTGCAGCTCACATCCAGAATTAATTTTTAACTTTTATCATTAAAATCTTACATAGGCAAGCATCTTTATCACAGAAGCCAGCTAGTTGCCATATGAATAAAGCAATAGCCTTCTGCATCATTCAGAATCTGCTGGTTACAACTACATTCTCTTCTTTATGGTCTCTGTGTATGACATAAATGGCTACTCTGTTTCTGCACAGCCATGTCCAGAAACTTCTGGAGAGGAATAACTTTTAGTAGGATCTCTATGTCCACTTCCATATCACACATGCCTAGAAATGCCCCATTGCCTTTCTCCTCGGTTCCTTTTCATCGGCCACAAAAGCAACTTCAAAAGACATCTCAGAGCATGTTTGATCAATTGGTTTGGACAAACTAGCTTTATCTCTTCATGGTTTGTTGCTATCAATGGCATTGGTCACCCTTTTCTTTTTGAAAGACCAAAAAAGGGTTCATTTTTCAGGGTTGTTTTTTGTTTTGTTAATAGACTCTACAGCCTGCTTCAGAAAGTTTATGGGGGTTTTTTTGGGGGGGGAATATTGCTTCCTGAAAGAGGCAAACAATGTGTTTATTTTGTTGAGAGTATAACATTTTTCATGGTTGAAGCTGATTTGAGGTTCATTAGGTCAAATTTGAAGCTCTGCCTTTTGTACCTTTTGGAGAAGTCACTTAAGCAAAATAATTGGAGGCAGAGGACAGACCACTGCATACAATATCTGCTTTGATCTTTAAATTTCATACCATTCAGAATTTGACAGCAACACTGAATCCAACTTCTCAGCACTCAACACTGTCAGGCTGAAACTGTTGCTAGCTTATTGGGAGTCAGAAGCATCAACAACTTTCATTTCAACTTGCCATTGACTTCTACAATTTCTTTAGCTTCCACAGTAACTTTGGAACCAGCTGCAAAGGCCTCCAGAAATCAAAATCTGCTTGTAAGATAATTCACTCTTTTTCTAAATATCAGTTGAAGCCAAAGAAAGGTAAACAAAAGAGCCAGCCCTGTGTTCCATCTTTCTACCTTTCACTTCAGCCTCCCCTATTCTAGATCCAATTGACCATACATAAATGGTATCTGCATCCTCTTCATCTGTTCTTCTGCCACTGTCAATTGTGCCTTCAAATACTGTTACTAGATGTGGCACAAAATTATTTCCCCTAAGACATCCTCGGGTGAGGTTGTTTGTATTAAGCATTTTGGAGGATAGACCTTCTCTTCTGTACCAAACAGAGGCCTACCTGTTTCTCACATGGACACACAGACAGTGCTCACCAGGTTCCTGCCATTCTGTTGTTCTGCATTACCATTCCAACCTGGTAATACTGCTGATTACTAGCACATCAACTTAGGGGAAAGAATGGAACGGTTTCTCCCTGCCTTCCCAGAGGATCATAAACCATGCCTGTTGCTTTTCATTGGGGAGTGTTTATATCAGCAGTCCAATAAATCCACTCCACCACACATCTGGAAAATTGGCATCCAAGGGAATGCTAACAACTTTTGCCTTACACCACCATGCCTGCTTACAATTAGCAGGAGTGACTGATAATATTAGAACATGGTAATATTTCTTGCTCATGCAGATGAAACTATAAACCACTTATTTAAAGCAAGAAACACAGCAAAAAAAATGCCCATCACTGTACATACAACAAAAGCCACCCATGAAACGGTGTAAATATGCCTGGTGTAAACCCTTCTTTGACAAGATTCATGTCACTAGTACAGATCCAGGCAATCTCATTTGCTGGGCTTTGTTCCACTCTCTACCAAAAGTACAATTTTTCATAGAAGAAGGCATCTAGGTGTACAGAACGACATCTCTGACTCCCTCCGCACAAGACTAATCACCCGTCTACAGGGGACGTCCTGGGCATGAAGCTTTACCAGTTTAGTGTTCCCATCTGGGTTGGTGATAGCAGGGAGCTTTTCCAAAGTGTAACACCCTAATAGTAGCTTATGTTTGAGTATGGGGCATAGTCATATTCCCATACATCAACAAGCTGCTGGTGGCAGATACTCTGTTCTGATCTTGAAAGAAATGTTCCTTTAACCTGGATCCCCTGTTTGATCTTAGTCTTTGCCTCAATTATTTCAAGCCCCAGTTCCATCCAACTCATCAGAATGAATGCATAGGTGTCGATCTGGATTCCACAGTGACACACACCTTTCTGCCTTTTCTGTGGCCCACCATGTATCACACACTCGTACATCACCTTCCAAAGAGTTAGATCTGATGGCATCCATGACATTTGGCATGCTGTTTCCTTAGCTTCATATGACATCAGTCATAATAATGACAGGTTCCACTTGGGTGCACAGAAGGCAAAGTGTGACAGCAAAGATCCACCATATCAACATCCCATTCCCAGAACTAATAACTGTGTTTTTATGCCACAAGCCAAGTAACTAACCTCAAAAAACAATGGTTTGTACATAATGGTGTCATACTCTGTTTTGTAGCCTGCTGCTTCAAGTAATTCCTGAATCTCTTCTTCAGTCTTTAATGGGAATGCTGACTTGAGGGCAAGGCTGTAGTAGGAGATAGAAAACACTTCTGTCTTATATGTGTATGTTCATATACACCCTTTCAAGATATACTATTCCATAGATCACTGGTGCAAGTAGATTCAGCTCCCCCCTCCAAATACTTCCAGAAAGCATCATTATTATTTTCCTGAAGAATGCTGTGCCCCCCTGTAAGAAGTATAGATTATTTACATTTTGAGCTTTCACAGACTATATTGCCTACTACTTCAGATGCACAGTCCTAGACATTCAGGTGTACAGTATATACAACACACATAACTGGGCTGAGATATGCGAGAGTGAAGCAAATTTAAAGGCAAAGTAGTACAATTCTAATCTTATTAATGCTGGTCATTCACGAGTATTACAAAAATCTTGACCAAGATAAGCCACATAACACCATGCAGCATAGTAAGAATATTGTATGAATCAAATTGGAACTCCCTAGCATGTGATATTGAGATAATGGAATACAGTCTGTGAAAACGCATGCTATAATAAATATACAGTATAGTTTTAAAGAAGATCCTGTACTGTTGTTTTACTCGCAACAGGTTAGAGCCACCCCACTTGAAAAGGAATACTGTAGAACACCAGATCCTCTTTAGTTGTGCTTAAGTTTGTCTAAAACAACATATTCCTAATCTTATGTGCTATTTTTCTTTGCTCCTTCATGTGACACCCCATACTCCAAGCTCTTACCTAAATTCTTCACGTGTCAGTTGGCCAGTATTTGCAGTATCAGCAGCAGTCAGTTCCTTTAACAAGGTGCCAAGTTGCTGGAGAAGGGCATGGTATACAGCTTCATCCAGCTACAAAAGTGATGGTGACAAAGTTAATTTAAAGCATAATTCATGGTGTCCTTTTCAGGTTTGATACACAAGAAACTGAGATGCCCAACAATGGTGATCCCTAAGTTCAGATCCACCTGTTCAGTTCCTTCTTTCCAGGGGAGACCTTTGAAGTTACAGAAAACATGTTTACTTAAATTACAGTATTGCATCAAAGCCAGAAACACAACACATCCATCCACCCAACCCGTCCTACAGTTAAAAAGTAAAGCAACACCAAGACCTACCAAGTAGAAGTGTTAGAGTTGGATTTTTAAAATAAGTCCACCAAATCCATGTGAATTCCCACCTTGGGGCTCGCTGCGGAGGGATGGAGAGCTCCTTGCATCCAATGTTGGATGTTGAAGAAAATATTCTCTATACGGTAGCAACCCTCTTGTGTTGAATGCCAAGTGTACTTGCTTAAGTCTATTTGCAGTTCCTGGGCTTCTACTGAATACAGGGCTTCATATAGCCTAATTCTGAAGTCCTTTGGTGTTAAATTCACTGCCATAGATATGGGGCTGGGAACCTCCCCAAGGAAAGCTGACCCTCTTGACCCAGTAACCTCCAGGTATGTTTGATTACTATATTTACATTTTTATCCTTTCCAATGAGTAGCAAAGCTACTACTTGTTATGTTTGCTGCCCAAGGACAACAAAACATAACAATAATAGAAAACAATAAAAAAATCAGAAAGGAAAAATTCAAAATTCCAAGACCATATGGGAACAATGATAAAAAAAAATCCATTAGCCACAAAGAATTAATGACAGGCAGGCCAGGAGAAGAATGGAACGTTATTTTGGGGCAAGGCAGAGAAAGGCTTGGGAGAACAGCCAGGTCTTAAGTTGCCTCCTGAAGTCCAGGAGAGATGGGGCCAGCCACACCTCTGGCGGAAGGGCATTCCAGAGGGAGGCAGCCAGCACAGGGAAGGCCTCATGACGGGTGGATTACTATGCCCATTTTCATGGGCCTGGTGATGATGGAAGTTGTAGTCCAGCATATCCAGAGAGTGCTGGCTTGAGGGGAGGAAATGCAGCATTCGCTTGTATTCAATAATTATTTTCCCAACTCATAGTGTTGCCCTACAGAAATCTGAAAGTGTGCATGCGGGGGGGGCACCAAAAAGAAATAAAATATGAGTAGTGTAAGATAGCAAACTACTTACAGCTCCTATCAGAATATGATAAAACAAAGACATTGTTTCATTGCTCCTATAAAGCTTGATGGTTTCGTAGATGCTGTATGTCCAGTCAAAAGCAAGGGCATCCCCATACTTCCTCTGGAAGAAGGTAAGGAAAAACTCTTGAAGGCTGGATCGCTTTCCCTTCTGCAAAAGGCAACATGGTTTCAGGGACAATCCTCAGCTGCCAGGACTACACGCCACACTACACAGTAATGGAATTACCTGGCCAGGAATTAAGCTTGGATTATTGTTTAATTCATTATTAGGCAGGATGGAGGAGAAACTTGCCACTGGGGCTGCAGCATGTGGGTAGGGCAGATTTAATCTTGCCTTTCCTGAGTCCAGTCTGAAGAAAATTCTCCGTGCTGTGTGCCACAAATTGTTTTAGGAATAAATTCTTCAACTGAATTTTTTGTTCTAATTGCAGCGAGTTAGTGGTGGCTACACAGGGATTAGTTGAGCCTTGCACACTGTGCTTCCTATAAATATTGTACAACCATCCCACCATTGCCCAGGTTCCTAGGATTACACCCAAGCTTAATAACTATGCAGTTAAGGTAATGTCCAGTTTGACCCCAAGTTTCTTTATTTACAGCTTCTACTAAACTTACAAACTCTTCTCCACTTCCTTACCAATCTTTCGATTGCATAATAACAATTATTCTCCATGGTGAAGCTCAGCAAATGCTGGCCTAGTATTCTGAAGTTCACAGAGCACAAACAAAAGCTAATCAAATCACCAACCACCATGCCTATTGTAGTCAAGAGACCTAGAAAATTCTACTTTCAGAGTGATGATTCCTATGTTAGACAGTTAACAGTACTGAGGACAGTAGATTTCACCCCAGTACCTTAAATCCACAAGGAAAAGCCAGATGATGCTTGGCCAGCTCACCAAGAAGCCTGAATCATAGAAAAGTGAAGTTGGAAGGGGCCTACAAGGCCATCAAGTCCAACCCCCTGCTCAATGCAGGAATACAATCAAAGCATATCTGCCAGGTAATTAAGTTTTTCTTCAATGCCTCCAGTGTTTGAGCACTCACCAACTCCCAAAGTAAACTGGTTCCACCGTCGTACTGCTCTAACGGGATGTTTTTCCTGATATTCAACCGAAATCTGGCTTCAACATGAGCCCATTGCTGCGTGTCCTGCACTCTAGGATGATCGACAACAGATCTTGCCCCTCCTCTGTATGACAGCCTTTTTCAAGTATTTGAAATATCACCCCTCAGTCTTCTTTTCTCAAAGCTAAATATGCCCAATTCTTTCAGCCTTTCCTCATAAGGCTTCATTTCCAGGCCCCTGATCATCCTTGTCACCCTCCTCTGAACTTGTTCCAATTCGTTAGCATCCTTCTTGAAGCATGGTGTCCAAAACTTGACACAGTACTCAAGGTGAGGCCTAACCAGTGTTGAATAGAGGACGACTGGCTCCTGACAGGATTTGGAGATTATACTTCTATCAATGCATCCTAAAATAGCATTTGCCTTTTTTTTGTAGCCACATCAGATTGTTGGCTCATATTTAGCTTGTTATCTACGACAATTCCAAGATCCTTCTTGCTTGTAGTTTTGCTGAGACACGTATCCCCCATCTCGTAACTGTGCAATTGGTTTCTTTTTCCAAGGTGAAGTACTTTGCATTTATCCCTGTTGAATTTCATTTGGCCCATTGCTCCATCCTATCAAGGTCATTTTGAATTTTGTTTCTGTCTTCTAGGGCAGGGGTTGTCCACAGCCTGGTGCTGGTCCATGGGCTTGCTGGAACTGAGCCGCAGCTATAGGTCTCCACCCTCCTGTGCGGGAGTGTAGCACCTGCAGTGGATGTGTCGTAGGAGCGCGCGGGTGCCCCTCTGTGCATGGAGCTCGCTCCCCCAGCCAGTCCGCAGCCCCAGAAAGGCTGGGAACCACTGTTTTAGGGTATTAGTTATTCTGCTCAATTTGGTACTGTATCATCTGCAAATTTGACAAGCATTCCCTGCACTCCCTCATCCAAGAGGGGTGTACATGCGTGGGGGGTGTACATGCATGGGGGCAGGAGATCTGTCTCCGTGGCCTGATCCTGCCAAGGCCACAGCCCGATACTGGGCCACAGACTGGGGGTTATGGACCCAGGCATTAATGCATGCATTCTATCAGGCATAAAAGACAGCAGACCATATTTCAGGTGACCCAATGAAGGGTACCAAACTTTAGTTAAATTATCTATTTGTTTCACCTCCAAGTAGTCCAACATAAGTAAATTTTTTCATCAGTGCTATTTCCCATATCATATTCAAATATCTTTTTTTAAAAAAATCCTTGAGCTTTTTTCCAAGTTCTCACAGGACCGACAAGGATTACCACCAACTCTTTATCAGACAAGTTTTCATTCCCCTGTGAATAATGAGAATCGTTAAGTTTTACTAGGAACTATCTCTTGCTTCCGCTTCATAGATTGCTGCCTTGTCGTGGCGAAGGGGCTTGAGTAATTCAGAGAAGGTATGGGCTATGCCGTGCAGGGACACCCAAGACGGACAGGTCATAGTGGAGAATTCTGACAAACACGAGCAGGAACTGCCAAGCCACTCCAGTATCTTTACCAAGAAAGCTCCATGGACAGAAACAAAAGGCTAAAAGATATGATGGTGGAAGATGAGCCCCTCAAGCTGGAAGGCATCCAGCATGCTACCGAGCAAGAGTGGAGGACAAGTATGTCATGAGTGGAGCCAAAGATCTGGAACCTGAGGGGTTAACTGTGGGTGAGGAGAATGCTGAGCAATTAGAAACACAAACACCTGAATCGCCTCCAGATTCTCCTCCCCCAGTAGACAGGCTGAGGGCCAGGATTCGGGGAAGACATGACAAAAAGGTCAGAGGATCGCTTGAAGGCTGCCCGCAGAAACATCCGATCAACTAGCCCTGAGTTCTGACAGGAT